TCCTGTGGCTCTTCGTCTGCTCCCACCTCCTCCTGTGGCTCTTCGTCTGCTCCCACCTCCTCCTGTGGCTCTTCGTCTGCTCCCACCTCCTCCTGTGGCTCTTCGTCTGCTCCCACCTCCTCCTGTGGCTCTTCGTCTGCTCCCACCTCCTACTGTGGCTCTTCGTCTACTCCCGCCTCCTCCTGTGGCTCTTCGTCTGCTCCCACCTCCTACTGTGGCTCTTCGTCTACTCCCGCCTCCTCCTGTGGCTCTTCGTCTGCTCCCACCTCCTCCTGTGGCTCCACCTCTGATCCTGTTGGGCCTGTGGATGGTCGTCCGGATCTCCTGCTCCGTGTTAGATGGTCTTCGGGCCGTCCCCCTGAACTGTGTGTTTTGTCCTTGTTCCCCTGAGTCTCGTCCCTCCCCTTTTCGACATCAGGAGCCGTCGTTGAGGGTAGGGTCCTGTCATGATCTGTGTTCATTTTCCTTAGTTTTCTAGTGTTTCTGTGTATCTCTGCCCTGCTCCAGCCCCGCCCTTTCTCACCTGTTTCCTCTTGTCTCCTCCAGGTGTTTCTTGTTGTCCTTAATTAGTTTGCCTTTTTATTCTGTGTCCTGTGTCGGTCTGCGTCCGATCATTATACTATTAGTCAGTGAGGTTGTCTTCCTTGTTGCTCGTGCTTGTTCTCCTGAGATACTCTGAGTTTTCTGAGCTGCCTCGTGAGCCTTTTTGTTTATCATTAAAGCTTTTTTGTTACTTTTGGATTTTTGCCTGTGCCCTGGGTCATTCTGCCACAGAACCTTACATTATCATGCGCAGATCCACTGAGAAACTTGCTGTTTCAGCAACATTTAATTAAAAAACTGTACTGTAGTTTCATTACAGTCATACTTTATGAGTGTAATACTCATGTTACAGTCACATAATCATGTGACTTTGTGATGAGGAGATCAATGTAAATATAGCTGCAGCTACAGCACACTAAGGTCAATTAACTGTTGCAACCCTTTTAAATTTAATTGACTGCAAATCATAATGTAGAAGGAGAGTCAAAAAACATTTTCTGAGAATTTCATTAAAATCTGCCCAATGCTTGTGTTTGTTTTTAAAGGGAACTTTGCTGGAAGTCATTTTGGTTTCTGCTCTTTCATCTTGCAATCTGTGCCTTATCTATACCTTTGCACATTTCATTATGTCTCTCATCAGTGTTAATCGTTACAGTTCACAGACTGCTGGATATTTAGGCAGAGAAAAGTGATGGAGCTTATGTCCTCTGCGGCTGCCGGCGTGCTTTCACACTAATGGACGAGCAGGAAATGTAGATAAGAGCTGCAGACGTGGAGATCTGAGAGGTGCAATTTTGCTCAAAGTGTGGAAAGCAGCTCTTTTGTTTTCAGCCTAAAGTAGTGAAAATGTACACAGGTAATGAAACTGAAGGGCATAATTCTCCCTGCAGTTAAACAATTTCTCAATGAAGCATCACTTTTTCCTTTTGAGCAGAGGAAAAGGGATTTGCTGCAAATACATTACTGGGAGCAGCTGCAACCCTTGTGGTTTTATCATTGTGAGAACAGGGAGAGAAAAACTAGATGGTGACCAGACTATAACTCACTTTGTAGTAGTGGTCCAAGAAGATAATAAAAAATACAAATCATTTTACAAATCTGTGAGACCTTACATTTAACTATCTCTTGTGTGCACATTTATCTTTCTCAGGAACACTGTCAGTGTTGGGAATCATAACTCATTGTTTCTCTTGCTTTACGGGTGTACCTGAAAACTCCATGCAGGCCAGGTAGGGGTCTCTGCAGCACAGGGAGTTTGTTGGTGTGTGGGCGGAGTTTGTCCTAGCTGTAATTGGTAGAGTTCTTGGTGTGGGAGGAGTTTGTCCTAAACGTAATCGACAGAGTTTTTGGTGAGGGCGGAGCTTGTCCTAACCATAATTGGCAGAGTTCTTGGTGTGGGCGGAGCTTGTCCCAACCATAATTGGCAGAGTTCTTGGTGTGGGCAGAGTTTTTCCTAACCGTAATTGGTGGAGTTCTTCTGTGTGGGCGAAGTTTGTCCTAACCGTAATTGGTGGAGTTCTTCTGTGTGGGCGAAGTTTGTCCTAAACGTAATTGGCAGAGTTCTTGGTGTGGGCGGAGCTTGTCCTAACCATAATTGGGAAAGTTCTTCTGTGTGGGTGGAGTTTTTCCTAAACATAATTGGCAGGGTTCTTGGTGTGGGCAGAGTTTGTCCTAAACGTAATTGGTGGAGTTCTTCTGTATGGACGGAGTTTGTCCTAAATATAATTGGCAGAGTTTGTCCTAACTATGATTGGAGGAGTTCTTCATGTGGGAGGAGTTTATCTTAACCATGCTTTCTGGCTGTTTTGACCAAGCTACACGTCTCCCAAGCTGCCAAGAGTTCATCCAAGAAAATGGTTATTGGTTTATCAAACCCCACWGAAAATGGTTATTCCAACCAAACACATCTTTACCAAAACCCTCCCACAAAAGTCGAACAGACCAAGCTTCCGTTTAGTGAATGCAAAGACCTCCCTCTCCTGCAGGCCCCAAAAACATGCTAACCAACTTTATAAATCAAAAGAAAAAAATCCAAACACGTTTAGCTCACCGGTGCTGGGTGGATACCGACTGTTGTTACGAACACACTCTTCCATGTAATGCTTCCAGTCCTCCTTCAGCTTGTCCAACGTAGCAGCAAAAGACACCTGAGGAGGAGACAGTGACGCACGCAGGAGATAATTCAATTAAAAGTATCCTGTTACATCAACAAAGTGTGGCATCTGTGGATGTTCTAATGTTGTCTAATTACAGCGCAGAAGAAATATTCAGAACAAAAACCTCAGACAAGCTGTTTCAGAGAACCGGCACGCACTTGCTTCACTTCAAATAGAGCGCAGAGAAGAAGTAAACAAGCATTCTTCATGGTGGGTAAAGGTCACTGACAGAGAAGTTCATACATCATTTGCTTGGAGGATTTTAAACTTTAGAAGAACTCTGTGCCTTCCTGTCTACATCTGTATGTGCATGTTTGCATGGGGGAGCTCTTAGGACCCACCTGGATGCTGCAGGAGACAATGAGCACTGTCAGGAAGAGGAACAGTCCTGACATCCCTTATTCCTGCTGGTGGTGCTGGAGGAGGGGAGACTGCAGGATGGGGAGGGGCTTTCACCTCATAAGGGGGCTTATCTACACTCGCCACACAGCCTGAATGACACAGAGACACACAATCCATCAAAGTCCATTGGAGACACATTAACTTGGGTTATCTTGGCCATATACAACAAGATGGCCGATACAGGAAAACGGCTGGGTCATATCCATCACGGTGCAATTATCTCAAATGCAGAAGGAAGGCAAACAGAGAAAGTAAAATAAAGAGATAAGTTTAATGCCTGGTTCACTTGTGCCCAAACAGGCTAATTATTTCAGGAAAGGCTGTCCAGTCCTATCCTTGTCTTCATTTTAACAAAACAAACACACAGTTAAAGATTGAAAAAGAAAACTCCTCCAGGATGTGCTGTTTCTTCCATCAGTTTCAGCTCACAAGAGATGCTCTCCTTTCATTGGCTTCGCCTTCACAATAAAACCAGATTTTCTTGGTTCAGCATGTGTGCCAGAGGTCACTCACCTGGGTATCGACCGCAGCGCACTCCCCAGATCCGACTGTAGCCAGAGAATGGAATGAAATCTGAAACGTTTCTGCAAAAAACACCTTGACCATGGAAACATTTTTGGCTAAAACGTTTCAAATTCCATTCTGTTCTGAGTCTTGTGGCGGGGTAGGAGGATGGGGCTGTGTGAACGTGTTTTGGTCACTGATGAGCAGGTATTTTGTCAAGAGATAAGATCGCAGCAGATAGAGAGAATGTGATCCACGTGTGGTTAAAAAGCCCACATTAAAAGCATTCAGTCTGCTTTTAAACTGAACATGTCAACAAGACTCACGTCACATTTGAAACCCCCACCCCACCCTTAATGTTACAATGTTCTGCTGAAAATAAAACTTGATTACATCTGAACCAAAGAGCCTGACTTTCTAAATGACCTGTTCAGCGTAATAACCATTAGATGCACTTAGCATTAGCAGACAGACTGATTGCAGTGATTGCCTGAGGGGGTCGGTGCTACTCTTGTCTGGTCTAACATCGGGTCAGAACCAGTCCAGATCAGATGCCAGTACTGACTCTTAACACCAACAGACACAGGAACCGGTTTCACTCTCATTTTTAAACCAACTGCAGAGGCTTCCAACCAAACAAAAATGAGTTGTTGTTGTTTTATTTTTTATTTTAAAATTCCTCATTTATTTCAGGCCATAAAATTGAATGATTGTCTGCAGGATCTTTCAACAATGTTTTATGAATCACAAATTTCATTAATGTTCTAGGATTTCTTTAAAGGAATGCATATCGCAGAGTTTTAAACTAAAAGGTCATTTGATGTTGAGAAATGATAAAGTTGAAAGTGTTAAAAACAGTGTGCAAAATCTCCAACAACATTGCAAGATGTGACACTCAGAGCGTTGTAACCAGGGGTGCCACCAGGGAGGGGCAAGGAGGGCCATAGCCACTAGAGATGGGATAAATGGCTCTTTGAAGGGATCCGGATTTTGGGGAGCCGTTTGTTTCATAGAGCCATTCAAAAGAGCTGTTCGATTTTGAACATATTATGTCATCATGTAGGGAAATACGTCATCACGTAGCCGTACGTAATGATGTAATCCCGTCACGTCGGTGGAACCATGTGTTTGTCAAGCGGAAACCCCCTCTCCCTTTCACCAGGAGCWTCTTGTACTCCACAACTCCACTTGTTTTCCATGAAAAAGCAAAGTGGCAGCGATTTAAGTGTGAAAAAATAAAAATTATATGGGGAATAAAAGAAATAAAACTACAAATGGCTCGTTACCGCCCGCGATTTGGCTCCTATCGTTCGTTGTAAAGAGCCGTTCAAAACATTCGGATCGTTCGTAAACGTCACATCTCTAATAGGCACCCCTTGCTAAATTTGTAGCTAGTTGCTAAAATGAGGCAGTGCAGACATAAAGCTGAACTCTTATAAGGCCAACATTATATTTTACAACAACAGCATGACAAAATTTATGAAATTTTMATGTGRCACCCCTGGATTTTCCGTGGTCCCCCCTCACCCCATACCCCAAGCCAAAACAAAAATAGATAAAATAAAATAAATTCTAGAGGCACTGCTGGTTGCTCAGTATCTGTAAGTGTGTGGAAATACAGCCATTCATGTGTGGGCTAAGGTGTATCAGGTTTGGCAGCCATCTTGAATTGAGTTAATTCCAAAAAATAATCAGTTCTAGATGTATATTCAGTAATTACTCTGTGAGAGTTTCATTAAAATATTTTTGGTGGTTTATGAGATATTTTGCTAACAGATGAAAAAGACTGACTATTACAGTTACAGTTTTTTTCCTAACATTTGATGCAAACACCCCATGTAATGAGTAATACTTGGAATGTGTGCTGTAAACCACTCTCAGCTACTATCACACCAAATTTTAGCACGATATGTGTAAAATTCTCTGAGTTATGGCAAACTTTCAGTTTTTTAAGGTCAACCGTCATTGGTAGCCATATTGAATTGAATTGACTCCAAACGTTAAAGAGTTGTAGGTGAACATTCAATGATAACTTTCTGAAAGTTTCATTAAAATCCACCAAGCATTTCATGAAACATTTTGTTAACAGACCGATAAAGTTGACCTTTTTTAATGCAAAACTTTGTTAGTGCTCAGAATGTGGCTCAGTCTCACGTTTGTGTGTGCCACACTTCTCAGGAGAGACTCTTGAGACTGACAGATGAGAGCATCCTTTGTTGAACAACCGTTTTGCCGTGTGTGACGGTTTTCCGGGGATTTCCTTTCCCTCGCTRTCATCTCACTAAAACACTCGGACTTGTTTCCTCCAGCAGCTCGTGGTGTGTCACCTTCTGCAACTCAGCATCGAGGAGAAACAATGATTAACCAAAGTGATCCCTACAGATGTGAGCGCCGCAGACAGAGCCAGATAAAGGCTTTCCCAACTTGCTCTCTGACCTGATTACTGTGGCCCTGCAACACAAAAAGCCTGCGTCAAGTGAAACGGGACCATCTCATGCAACAAATTATGATTATAATTAACCTTATCAATCACTTTGTTTCTCTCTCTTAAGGACAAATCACAGCAGTCTGACCTACTAACTCTCTTCTCCAGCAAGTATCCTGTAGCGTTTCCTGCTCCCGCTGCATGTCTGACGTCAGGTGCAACAACAGCTGAGGGTCAAACAAATAGATAATGAGCTGACATTTAGGGTTTGGGTGTGTCTCTTTAAAATGTTTCATCAAAAAAAAGTCTCATCTTTTCTAAACTCAAACAATAGTCAGCCCCTTTTTAAAACAATGCCTATAGACATTTATTTTTATTTTGTGCAAAGAAAAAAAGAACAATCACAAGTAAATGACGCAAATGACCCAACAACATAAAAATGGCTCTCAGTTCAAGTGCATAATGAATGGCTCAGTACAATAGCCACTAGCAATTACAGCAGTTTTTTTCTTTCTTTCCTTTTTTATTTTTTGAGAGTGCTTACCTTTAATTTGATCACATTGTCTCGCAAATATTATTACAAAAGGATAGAATGCACCGATGAGTGCGGTGCAAGGACTGAAAACAAACCTCTTGGGAAAAACAACAACAGTTGAGCCCAGAAAACAGCCCCGAGCGGCAATCCATTACTCACTTCTCCAAACGTGAATCTTTCCTGCATCATCCACTTGTAACGTCCCTGATCCAACCTGTGTGTTCTTTAAGTCGAGGGAAATACTTCCCAGTTTTCAAGAAAATAAAAACTGATGATCGAACCAATGTCCGTGCCTCGTATTGTTCCTGGTTCTCAAGCTTCTGCCTAAATTATCTGAGGCGAAGCTGTCATGCTCATACATCAGGGCTGCAGATGTGAAGCTGAGCATGGCAGAGCTGCTCACTCACTGATCTTAGGATAAAGTCGAGTTCAGGACAGATGAAGGGTTGTGCTGCAACATGCTTTTTAAGGGATGTCAGCTTAGAGTGATTCAGTACTGATCTTTGGTTTTATGGTCTGCTGGTATAGGGCACCGAAGCTAAAATAAAATTTAAAAATGTCACAAACACATTTTCATTATTTGGCTCATTTTCTGAGTCCAAAATCCAAGTTACATTTTTTTCCTCTAACATTTTATTGTTATTTCACAGTTCTTACATTTTGCTGATTTTTGCTGGTGTTAAAATTAAATGTTAAATAATATGTGTAAATATTATATCCTGAATCTGAATGTAAAAGTTAAATCTTAAAAGTTGAGGCTAAATGTTTAAGTTCATATTTTTGTATTTTGGAAGCGTTTGCCATTGGTGCAAGGCTTAAGTTATGACATCATCATTCTGAGACAAAAGCAACTGCTAATGCTACTAATGTTGCTAACGCTGCTAACACTTCCCTATAAGACATCAATTTTACATTTAGATTTCGAATTTAACATTTAGCCATAACATTTAACATTTAAATTCAACATTTAGTAAAAATTTAACAAAATAAAAAACAAGCTAAATAACATTTTTTAATATTTTAATATTTTTACAATAGCGCCTCACACTGGTAATCAATAATAAGTTTCAACTGATTCATCCAGTCTTCATTTCATAAATTCATCTTGATTTTACATTTAACACTTGCCTCAAAAGGCAAGAAGCAATACTGTTTGTGTTTTTTATACATTCTTTTAGCAAAATATTTCATGAACCAGAAGATGGATTACAGCTTAGTGACATTAGCATGCACAAAAAATGGCTACAACTCAACCAGTCTGACAGATACTGAGATAAAATCTGGTGTGGCAATAGCTGACAGTCATTCCCAAGCACTAACAGATCACATTACTCCTCACAATGAGATTACATAATGTTATTTTTAAAGTTTGACCAGAATAGCTCAACAAGACAACTTTATTCAAAACTCTGGCATGAAATATGCATCGCTTCAAGGAAGGCTTGGCCTTTAATTTTGTATGTGCTTTTATTCCAAGTGAATAAAACGTGAAGATCACGTTGGATGAAGGGTGATTTTCCAGTTCAGAGATACTCTGAGGTCATTATCTGATAGTTGAACACTTGACTCCGCCTGAGCTGCAGCTGCAAACGATAAACTGTGCGCAGGTTTATCAGAGAATACCGTATTAAACTGGTTCCTCCAGAGTCACCCGAGCCCTCGCCACCCTCTGCAGGATGAAGCATGTTTAATCAGTAAATGGATTAGGCTTCCTGCTAACTGTCTTCTTTCGCTTTAGCAACACTTCCAACGAAAAAATCCCACAGAGCGTACGAAGAGGAGAGAGCTACAAGTTGTGACATCTTCAGAGGGTCATTCATGGCAAAATTACTGTTAAGATCAACAAATCWGTCCTGGCAGGAAGCTTCCTGCCCTACTTTACTGAACATCGTGGCTTTAAATAATTAATAAAAGCAGATTCTTTTCTTATGAAAAAAGTTTAGAAGCAAGAATCACTGTACAGAAACCAGAAACAAAACATCCTCAGTCTGTATACTGAACAAATACTTCAGCTTTAAAGCAGATATGCTTAAGTTTAAATATATTTTTTCTTAAAACAGTTGTAGAGAATCTTAGAGCAGTAAAATAAAACCAATAGATTTAACAAAAGGGTAGCAAAAAAGAAAATAACCTACACACTAAACAGTCACTGTCTCCATGATTAAACATGACTTGCTGTTTATTGATTAGTTGACTGTTTCATGAGAACAGTCAATAACCTGACAAATATTCAAGGAACATGGTCTTCATGCCTTCTTTAATCTGATGATGATGAGTGACCCGTGTTGGTCCAGACCAAGATGGATACGGGTTACTGTTCAGTTTCTCTTTGAGAAGTTAAAAAAAAAACGAGACGTAAAACACTCAAAATTATTACAAATAAGGTTAAAGATGACCGTGAAGAAATGCAAACTTACATGTTTCAGATAATAACTTAAAATTTTATGTGGTAGCAACTGAGACAAATAACAAAAACTCCTCATTATAAAAAACTAAAATCAATGAGTTATTGTGATCAGGAAGACAAATGAAGGCATATCTCTGAAACTGCTAAAGCTATTAGGATAATCCAGGTACCAAAGTGGAGCTTAAAAAGCAGGAATCTGAAAATATGCTTAGTTCATTTTGACAAAATTTTAACTATGTGATGGATTGCATACTACAGTTGATCCTGCTGTCCCACATTTATAAAATAAAAACATGACAGGACTTTATTGTATGATTATCACACAGGAACAATGAGTTCCGCGGGTATTGTTAAAGTGAAAAACAAATTAATTAGCGCAGTCCTGATGACAGCAGCCATTTGAAGCTCTGATCTGCTGTTRGTCACTGACCGGGTCACGTTGTGCGACAGCAGCTCAGGCTGTGACCCATCCTTAAAGCGAGGGTACAAACCAAACGCACCGAGGCTTTGTGTGCTGATTATTTACGTATTTTTTGCAAGCATTTCCAATTCAAAGGTGTACTGAAACCAGCGTAGGTGGGAGACAATGACAAACAATTGAGTAACACTCCAGATCTACCTTTATTGTGTGTGAGTGAGCGAATGACGCCTTCGTGTGTGGGACGTTGTGTGGGATGCGGACGCTGCTTTGTAACCTCTTTTATCAGCCGTGTTGGGGCTACAAACCGATCCACGGCTGCTGGGGAGCAGCAACAACAACAACAACAACAAACCCCACGGCGAACCTTCAGTCCTAACATCCCACATTGTTTCTGCTCAAACGGGTTTCTGGCAGATGATCCCTGCAGAGGCTGAACCCAGATGATGAAGTGGGTTTGAGTGTTTTGTCCGGCTCGCAGTTTTCAAAATGAATCCCAAACTGCTCATTGGTACATTTTGTGCCTCATAGATGAATACGTTTMGCATCTGATCAGGACTTGTGTTATAGCTAACACCTGCTGAAAGGCGGGTAATGGTGTTTTTGCCCTTAACTGTGTGTTTGTTTTCCTGTCTGTTGATCTACGGTTGATTATCATGTGACATCAACACAATTCAAGATGGCCGCCACAGTTAGAAAAGACAAAAAGTGCTTGAGCTCAGCAGGTTTTATTAATGTTGAGCTAAAATTAGGCATGGCAGTAGCTGAAAATCAGCCCCAAAACATACTCTAAGAGTTAATCATTGTGTCAGATTATTGCTTAAAAACTTGGCAACAACTCTGTGTGTCTGTTAGCAAAATATCTCATGAACACAGTGAGTGAATCTGGATTAAATTCTCTGAAATAATCTGAAATAAATCACTAGATTTATTACATTTATACACAACTGACTCAAGATGGCTGCCGCAACTAATGGAACTTAGCAAACACAAAGAAATATCCTCAGAATACTGTGACAAAATATTTGATGGGTTTTACTTTATCAGGTAAATAATAAAGGTCAGGTTTCAGAGATTATCATTTTTAGGAAAAGCCAGGAGGAAAAAAATAAATTTGAGGCTTTAACTCCTTCATCATTTGGTTTTGTATTTTACAATAGGAGATAATGAAAAACAGAAACATGGCTACATTTATGTGCATTTAATAAGGTCAAGAAAAACATGAAATTAGTTAAATAAGTACCAATAGTAATCTGTTGTGATTTAAAATCGTTTGAGTCAAAGTCTTCAGCCGACTGCAGATTTGCATTTGAGGTTTTATCTGTGAGAGGAAGAAGAAAACTCAATTGCCACGCAAGTCTTGTATTTATATTTTGAGGTACAGTACTTGCACTCAAGAATTTCTATGTTAAGCATCCTCATTCTTTACTCCTTTACAGAAAAATCAGTACATTTACAGTGCTACATGCTGTTTTTGAGAACATTACCTCTTAACTTTCCTGCAGCTCTTGGGTTAAATTAACCCCTGAGGCCCCTGAAACAGTGCGTATTCAGACAGAGGTACTGCAGATAAAAGCTGCGATAAGGGACGGAACTAACCAAAATTAAGAGTCAAAAATAACAGCTTGTCCATCATTTCGCTTAATTTGGTT